TATGCTGCCTTGTGAAGAGAAGCTGTTACCAGCAAGAGTATATAAAAGTTTTTGAGAACAAAGGTAGCTGAAGTAGTGTTATTGGGGTATTATAGTGTAAAGGTAATAAATAGCGTGGCATGTTAAAGGAAATGAACTTTAGACTAGCATGTTGGATTATAGTGCAAAGTTAATGAGCTTCCTTAGTGCATAAGAGCTCAGATTAGCATGTATTATTGGCATATGTATTTTGATGAGAGAAGCATGTAAAATTTAAAGAAACAAAAATTAGCAAGTTAATGGCATACTATTTGGTTCTTTCTTTGCGCCTTTTGACGTCATCTGGTCGAACACCATATGAGACTAGGCTCTAAGAAAAGTTGTCTCTGGTGTGGACCAATCAGTTTCAAGGATAATGCATAAATTATCATAGTATTGTTTTTTGTTTGCATTTGACTGCAAGTATTGTGGTTAATGTTAACATGATTCCTTGCTAAAGGTGTCAGTTTTGTTGCCATAAAAAAGGGGAAAAACCTTATTAGTATATTTTGATACTGGCAAAGGAGGCCTCATGATGATCACTTAAGTGACTTTACCGAAATAATCAAAGAAAGAAACAAAGAGTATGGATTCCTGCCGTCCCGAAAGCTTCAAATCAAGATTGAAGTTAATGTCAGTCTATGTGTAACCAAGAATAGCATGTTAAAGTCAATGAGAAAAGTTAATGAGAATATCATGTTAAAGTCAATGAAAGACGAGCAAGTCGATGCAGTCATGCCGGTGGTTGCATGTCCATGTGTGACAAAAGCAGCTGTGTTAGCGAACCAAAAGATTGTCCGTGCTAACGTGTTAGGGTGCGGAGCTCGCTCCTATTATGGAGCTCGCTACTGTGAGGCCAGCTGCTGCGGAGCTGGCTGCTGTGCTGCGAGAGGAAGACTGGTCAGACCAGGTTGTGGAGCTGGTCGCTGCGCTGGTTAATCACGTCCTTCCAATGGTTGCTCAGCTTCTCTGGGTTATCGGCCCCTGGCACGGTGACATCACCCCTCAATTGCTCAGTCGAGGCATTCTCAACCGCCTCTCCCAGCCCACACCTCTCTCCCTCCCCCCTCCTTCCTCACCCGCTCCCCAGCCCACCCCGCACTACTGGACATCTGTGAATAAAAGCTTTATAGCTAATCGGATTTCTCCTCCAGTATAAATACATATTCTGAAAATAATATTCTGATATTCTGGCTTCCCGCCATTGGGGGTTTTCTGAATTAGAAAGAAGCCCTCGAGTAGAGGCCATTCATAAAAGAGACATCGCTGATGAGTCGTGGTGCGCTCTCTGGCATCAACAACGAATGTGGGCGCAGTGGATATAGGGAATTTAGTTCTGCGTCTCCACAACACGTGATACAACCCGTGAACACATTGGAGAGATATTATTTGACCACGCTTGTGTTTCTCCAGTGAAGCCACTACATATATGTAAGAAAATATATTACGTAAAAAATAGGCAATTTCACTTTTAATATACATTTTTGGAAAAGGCATATATACAACACCCCCCCGCCCCCTCAAAAGGCTTCCAGACAGGTGGGTTCCGCCGAGTGATGCTAATTAAGATGGTGGTGAAGCCTTTGCAATTTGTAAGCGTTATACTGCCATCGCTATGCTTTACGAATTGTAATCTTCTTCATCATGTTTCAAACAAATCAACACATTCATAAATAACACTGCCATAAAAGGAAATGCATCTATACATACAATGCGTGACGTTCATATCATTGGCATTCTTATTAAACCCATTTTTTATATTCTTTGAAGAAGAACCATTGCCTGAAACGTCACCAGTTATGCTTTTTCTATTTCTGGCTGTTATTGAGGAATGTGTTTAGGGTTTGTTATCTATGATTGTGCACAACTGCCAACGCTGTATCCTCAAATAATAATTCTAAATCTACACGTAATTTAAGTGCTTTGTTTTACTTTGAGGACTTACAGCCAGCTTAAAGGTAAAAATACCTGCGACCAACTAGAAGTGGTATGATTAAGCAGACACTGGCACAAGGGTGTTTATCTCTTGAACAGCTACAGTGCAAATAGTTGTAGCACGAGTTAGCATTCCATTGTACACTCTGAACGAAAGCAAACAAATCACATGACATTTTTCAGGCTATTGGGGGACAAAATGAGGGTACAGTCAATCATCTCCAAAGTAATCGAGACTGCCTAAAACCTCAAATAGTTCAACAAAATGTTTACATACATACAAATTATCCATGCATCTTGTCTGATATTTCTTGAAGTCTGCCTGATATTTTTGAAATGTTACTGAATTTACAGAAGTTTTTGTTATCGTCTACTGGAAGAATGAGGTAAATTACGCCCCATCAAATTCATATATCCCACGTGTGGTTATCTGGGTCGGGCTGCGTGTTGACTATTATGTCTCTCAAGCATTCTCCAGGTGCTAAAGTGGGCATTTACAGGAGTTCAATCCGGAATGTAAAGCTACTTATATTTTGACTCCTTAAGATGTCAGCAGCACGCTCATCAACGTGCAACCTAACTGAAGAAAATGCACAAGTGCATTTTTCATGAACATACAATAGAAGCATAAAAATACAATCCGGGTTGGTGAAATGAGGTCGAGGACCATTTAATAATCAACTCGCCAATGATGTTAAACGTGGCCAGATATTGAACTCATATCACCAGATTATCTTTGACAGCTCTTCACCTTCTACATTGTTATCCTCTCTCTTCCCTTTATTGGCCTTCTGGAATGTCACTTCATTATCAGCGGTCCAGCCCTACGGTAGATGATGTCCGACTGCCCATGCTGCTGGAGTTTTTCGGTCAAAGCGGGGATTCTTCATTTGCGGAAACCGAGTTCCCATGCAGAGTCTCTCACGATTCGGTTCTCGGTCTCGTGCTGTTCACGCCTACACGTCTCCTATTGAACACCCCATTACGAGCTTCGGCGTGAAATGCCATTGCTACGCAGACGACACCATACTCCTCACCTCAGTTGATAACATTATTTTCACACGAATAATCATGAATCGTTGTGGAGATTAAAATAACAATATCGATAAACAATCACCACGAATCCTTCATATATATTTTTTATACAACTCGTCAGGCCCATTACCGCCTGAGAGTCACATTTCAGTAGCAGTGATAATACAAGCAAATTCTGCATTGATATTGACATACAATGTGTCATCAGTACTATACTTGAATCGATGTATGTGAATTATGCAGTAAATTATCAATGTTTCTTGCATAAGTAAATTCATTGTACTTATGTAAAATATCTAAATATTATAACACCAAATTAAAGTACAATTTCTATTTGATAGTATTATTTATAAGATATGCATCTTATTTCAACACAATGTATATGTAGTGACATCGCGGATGTCACTGTGTAATGCCGGCCCTCGAGAGGCACGGCGTGCGGTGTATTGAAACCACTGGCACCACTAGAATGAGGGTGCAGTACCGGCCCTAGAGGGGCTCGGTGAGCGTTGATCAATAGCGCTGGATGGCACCACGCTTGGCGTGCAGTGCCGATCCCTACAGGATAGGGTGTGAGAGTGCCGGCCACGGAAATGGGGTTACTATAGGCCGTGGCACTCTGGTTGACCCCAGATGACACGTGACCGGTTAATTCTACACAGGGGCCCCAAGTGGGGGCTAGGGGTGGTCATGTGTCAGGGTCGAGATCCTGCTTGATGATTCTAGAAGGTGGTCGTGGCCAAGGGCAGAACCAGCCACACGACAGAGGATATAAGCCGGGTCCCCCAGAGGGACTGGCTGCTGTTGTTATCCTGAAAAAATCTACGTTCTACATCCTACAGAGTCACCAACACGTGGACCAGGACCCAAGCTGTGGTCCGGTCCGTTGTCGCTATTTACGATGTAATTAGTGTGGTTAGCCTTGTGGTCACCACCATAGGTTGTTATTTTGTAAAGGGGTAGTTATCCCATGTGTTGGTGTAAATAAATGTGTTGCCTCCAAGGAGTACATCTGCAACTCAGTTGAACTCACTACATATAAAAATATTCAGTACATAATGCAAATAACATTAGTTGTGTTTTTTTATCTAACACAACAAATTATTTTCAGCTATACGTTATATAATTTTGCATCGATCTAGGACCCATATCTTAAACATAGAAAATTGCCTATTACATGCGTAATGACTGACTCAGAGACACTAAGAGTAGGAGGCACTCTATTTATTCATAGTTTTCACAGTTCACAAGAGTAACTACAGCTCCCAGTCAGGACAGCTAGCAGACTGCCTGACTGACGACGCCGAGAAGGTGAAGACGGCGGCAGACTCCAGCAGCACGACGAGGGGATCCCACTCCAGGTGACAGCCCTGAGCTGCCGCTCGGGGTCCCCTTTTATCCTCCCAGCGTGGCCTCGCTCCGCCCCAGCCACGCCTATGTGGGGGACCTCGGGGCTGTTGCTGGAGTGGCATCCCCGTCGTGCTGCTGAAGTCCATCGTCGCCATTCTTATTGTCGTCTTCACCACTCTTCTCGTCGTCGTCTCCGTCTTTAACATCTCGGTGCGCCACCAGTCAGACAACGTACCAACTGTTGTTACTAAGTAGTGTCGCCGATAATAGATGGACTAAATATTAAGTGTGTTAATCCCAATGGTGCTCGTTAATAAAGAAGAGCCTCCAAGTCTTATCGTCTCCGAGTTAGTCACTACACATGTGACAGTTCACCAGCATTGATTCAAGCAATCTTGACTCTGATGATGAGACATATCAAAACGTATCTGGAATTTGCTTGCACTGAATCAATGCTTCTGAAATGATGCACTCCCAAGAGTCCGTTTGACAATTGGGTGTTGTAAAAAAAAAATGTACGTGCAGAAAAAAATATAAAGGAGACATTGGTCTGCTTATCTGTTTTTTTTTTCAGGAAATGTTTTTGGTCACGCGCTGCTAGATGAAAACCCCTCCGACCGGTTCGGCTTCAAATTCCTATGCCCTGCGTGGAAACGTCTTTACTTAGATGTGCAGTTCACGTGAGGGGCTGGCAGTCTTGAAGAACACGCGATAATATTTGCTCTCTAAACTGCTGAAGAGTAGCGCTAGCTCAGGGGTAGAGATCGGACTCCCGAGTCTCCACAGGAATAAAGTCCCGGCGTCTCAGACCAACTCGAGCTGTCTCATAGACGGGATGGGACATCAGCTGCCCTTTCTCGTCGTTATCGGTTTCGTTATGCTGGTGAGTGCTTTAATCATGCATACACACTTTATTAAATAAAAAAAAAGATACAAGTAGGACTCTATTCTATGTTTCCACATAATAACACACACTTAGTCTGGCTTTCCAAACAAATATCAAATGTCACCAAGCAATATTTCTTTAAATCAAACTCTGGATTAGTTATTTGCGCTGTTTTAAATGTGTACAGTTCATTTCTCATGCGATATGTATTAATGGCCGTTGGAAGGTTCTTTGTAGGTCCTGCAGGGAAAATAACCTGAGGCTGCTCTGCCCTTTCTGAGACCTGGAGCCCATGAACACTGCCTTACCCACAGTGTGTACACTTACAAGCACTATGCACATGTACTTGTGTGAATACACTGCTGGATGAGGACTGCTCCACGCCAAGCATGTCATAAGGGTTATCTGACCATACTTCACCAATGTGATCGGTGCGAGTTGGTGAATGCGATACATTGGAGCAGAGCACAGTTCAACAATGCACTTTGCTGAACTGCCCTCAGCTGGCAATGTAGCCCCTCAGAAGCCTGCAGGACATCGTTCATGCCTGGTGGTCGCCAATCCAAGCACCATCCAGGCTCAATCCTGGTTGCTTCAACGACCTTGGTGCATTCCTGGGTGATTTTCTATGCATTTGTACGTATCGTTATCTTTGTACGTATAGTCATACGCAGTTATGTATATTATAGCTGTATATATGGGGTGAGAGGGTTTATAGTGGAGTTTTTTTTACCGAAAAAACCTAAGAATAAGAATATGTGCAGCATGCCTGTGTTTGCGTGGGAGCACAGCAGAGATATAGTGGTTGGCGCACTGCGCTCATAACTGGTCACCTAAGTACAGTTCCTAAACGCATCCAACATCAGTGATGAATATCTGAAGCGATTCTGCGGCTTCCCTTGGTCAACTTGGCCTTTAATGAGTTACTTGAAGCAGGTGTACCGAACGGTTTACGCTTACATACAGAGTACACCCCTTTGGTCAATTCACTGCTGATTGACAGCCTCCCCCAGGTCGTCTGGGTCATGTGATCATAATTCATGCTGGCCATTACTGGTTGGTGAAGGCGCCATACTTCTGTAATGACAGAAATTAGGAAGCAATCACCTCAAGCAAATGTGCAGCCAAACAGACTTCCAAGAAGTCGGCCAAGGCCTCCTATTGGTGTAGTGAGGTCCCAAGCATCACTAGCCCTGGCCACTTCTTTATGACCCTTGGGCTCACCCATTTCATACCTTTCAAAACAGTCTGACAGACGCTTGTGTTCCACCCGAAACGTCGTGATTTATTTTATTTTATACCTACGTGACTTTACCGAAAGAACAAAGAGTATGGATTCCTGCAGTCATGAAAGCTTCAAATTCAAGCTGGTTCTTTGTTCCACGACCCTGACGGAATCGGCATTGTTCCTCCTAAATAAGAGGCTCGAGCACTGGGTGCAGCCTCCTCTCCAGCACTCTGTCATAGGCTTTTCCTGGGACGCTGAGGAGTGTGATCCCTCTGTAGTTGGAGGACACCCTCTGGTCCCCTTTGTTAACAGTGGGAATCCCGACCCCAGTTTGCCAATCCAGAAGTACACTTTTGCTCTTTCTGTAAAGTCACGTAGAAAGAAAATAAATTAAATAATAATATAATACTACATTTCGATTGCAACACAAGCAACCATCAGCAGGTAATAATGAATGAGAAAACAAACATAGCAAACTGAGAAATATAATGCAATACAACCCAGAGAGTCGGCTAACACAAGTCAACATCCTACCTGGTTGATTAACGTTCTTCCAAAGAATGCTAAATTTGAAAGAGACAAAACACAGACACGGAGACACACAGACAGACACACAATTAGAGAGAGAACATACACAGAGATACACAGAGGTACACACACATAGACACACAGTAAGACAACACCTCTGTGTCGTGGGCTTAAATAGAGAGGGGGGGGGTAGAAAACAATGAGAGAGTTGTGTGGAATTCCAGCCCATAGTGGCCGGAGAAGAGACAATAGACTTACAAAACAAGTAAGCAAGTTTAGTAAAATTAGGAAGTGTAATGCAATGTAACCCAGAGAGTTGGTTAACACACAGTTAACGCATAGCCTGGTTGATTACGTTCTTCCAAAGATTGCTAAATTAGAAGTTAAGTGTGAAACAAACACGGCAAATCCCCCCGTGAGGTGGTTCAAACTATATTTTACGCTTTCGTGACTGCAGGAATTACTCTTTGGTTCTTTCGGTAAAGTCACGTAGAAAGAAAATAAATTAAATAATAATAGAATACGACGTTTCGATTGCAACACGAGCAAGCATCATCAGGTACGAATTAATAAGAAAACAAATATAGCAAACTTAGAAATATAATGCTATACAACCCAGAGAGTTGGCTAACACAACAGTCAACATCCTACCTGGTTGATTAACGTTCTTCCAAAGAATGATACATTTGAGAGAGAGAGAAAACACAGACGGTTTGCTTACTCATTCATACGTGGCTCACTGAGCCTCCTCAAGGGCTCGTACTACACCCACATATAAGGGGTGTCCGCGATGGTAATACATCGCACGCCGTGCCTCGCTAGAGCCGGCATTACCCAGTGACATCTGCGATGCCACTATATATTTATATGAATACAATGTATCGCTAATATCAGCTTTTATCATCTCGTCAATCACGATTTCTGTGTGAGCTTTCTTGACCGGCCCTATGCGATATGAATTTTGGTGGATGGGCGATGCATTTTCCTGTCTTCATGTGGTGTGACATTAAATTATTATGCCCTAAATCATATGGTCATTTATTACATATATCTTCGAAATCCTATAATAATTTCCAAAGGACCGAACGTTGTGGTTCGAATAAGTTGTCATCCTGCTCTGTCATAGCTTTCAGCCAGGGTGTGGCCTCCTCGCATGCAGGATCCGTTTCATGTTCCACTATTCCCACCTGCACTTCATCGCCCCCTGCAGACATGGGTGCACATGCGTCAAAACCGTTCCCGCATGGATAGTGACTGGTGTGTTTGCCGTGTTTAGAACTTGGATAAATAGTTTCTGGTAGCGACACAGGATGGTGTCCACACCTGCCAGGGCGTGTCGGTGCATGATCACCATTGCTGGTGATAGCAGACATCACAAATCAAGATTTCAAATCAAGATTTGTGATGTCTTCCCGCAACTGTTGCAAGAGTAGCATTATGGCCTGCATGAGATGATCAACTCGGTCCGCCCAGGGCCTCCTTCTCTCGCCGGGTGGAGGGCTCGAGGAGCCGACTCTGTCTGTAGATCATGCTGTCTCCAGATCATGGTGCTGGGAGTGGAGGCGCATTATTCTCTTTCTTTACTGGGATCTCGGTCGGGGTCTTTTCAATGACTGCATCGAGGCATCTTCGTGATCCCACCACTGCCACCAGTTGTAAGCATTTCCTTGATGATTGCCAGCACCTGAACCGACATACGGGTGCCATTTATACAGGCAAAAGAATATATAGCTGTTCCCCTGACGACATTCCATGCACCCCTGGTCCGTAACAATTTTGATGGGAATTTAAATACTCTGTCCCTAGCCAACAAGCAACCGTTAATGTGCTGGACACAGATTTTGGTCTCCAACTGTCCCATAATTTCCATACTTCCCCCATTTGCCACTACGTAGGATGATTGTTAAGGTCGCAACCACTGGGCTCTGTGGGGAAGCATATCAAACACATGCAGGGATATAATAGTCGCTGACGCTCATGTATCTATCAGCATCTGTACCTCAATTCCTTCCACCAAGCCTACTCTTCTCTTTGCCAACTTGTGCCATTGTGTATCTGAAGCCAGCCATCGTGGTGGTGAAAGTTCGCATGTGTAGTGAGTCCAACTGAGTCGCAGACGTTATCTTGGGAGCAACACTATTTATTACGCAGCTTTAACACAACAATCTACACTGGTCTCGAATGCCCATCTAACCACGCTACGGCAGAACTAGACACTTTTCTCTATCCCGGCCCGGACGACAAGCTGGGTCCCGGACCGCGTGGCTAGAGGCTTCTTCTCCCTGACGTGGATCTTCTTCACACCAGCACACAAAGAACTCTGAGCTCCTCACGGGGCCCCACTTATTTCCCCCTGGGCTGGGGCTGGCTCCGCCCTTCGCCCCGCCCTCCTTCCAGATCTCTCGAGCTCTTTCTCGAGGGCTCCTGAGAGCTCTTTTAGACCACGTGATTGCCCAGCGGTCCCCGTCCACCGGTGGCCCCCCTCCAATATCATCCGGTCACGTGTCAGCAGGTCAACCAGCGTATCATGCCCCAACATAACCCTGGCTGGCTGACACTCCCTCTCGCTCCTTCACCGGGAGCCCGCACCGCACACTCCTCGTGGTGCCTCCGTGCTGACCAGCGCTTACCCAAGCGCCGCTAGGGCTGGTAATACACCCCTTAAGTGGGCTACACATAATGTTAACACATTATCCGCTGCGGCTTCGTAAGCCCGGCACCACACAGTGACAATCACAGTCACTACATCACCCCAGCTCCGTAGCTTCCAGCCGTCCTGGCTGCCAACTCCCCCCCAAGTAAGAAACCGACATATAATCATACAGAACATAACAACAAGTGTGCTCCAACAAACATAACAATGCAATAAATTACCCAACCCAATTGTACAATATATATACACACAGGAAAAAAAAACGAACGAACCAATAATCGCACCACACGAGATCCCAACAATCATCATGTCCCACCCACAACGTGTAACAACGCCCTGAGCTCGATGGCGAGCAGGATCAACCAAATACTCGCCACGACTCACAAGAGCGTGACAGCCCATGACAGTGTGGGAGTGTGCAATGCGCGGGGATCACGCGAATCGAGTCTTTGAACGAGTCCGTGACGCCGGTCCTCCAGACGGGTTGAGCTCGACCGCCCTGGGAGGGCCGGGGGGAACAATAAATCGACCCGATGAAGCCGGCTCCTCACGAAGAGCAATAGGCTGGGTCGTTGGGTCCTTGGCGTC